TAGATATAGAAAAAAAAACAATTCTTTTTCTGGAAAGTTTCAAACACCCACAAAAGTCCATAAACCAACCTAATGAAGTTCTCTATCTGTTATTTAGTTTCAACTGCTATTGCTCTGTGGCCGGGAGTTTGATCTATTTTTCACATATAATGCTGACACAAGGTTCTGTCTCTAAACAGTTCACCAATTTATTTTGAACATAACCTAACCACAAAACACACCTTGAAATGCAGTCATTCCTTCAGGTGGTCAATGATAGAGTTAATGTGTGAGGTTACAGCTGTCTCATGAATGCCTCTCCATCTCTCCATCCTCATGTCTGGATCAGAATCAGATAAGTAAGGCTCACACATTGTACTACCCATTATAGAGTCAGGTAAGTAAGGCTCACAAATTGTCATACCCATTATAGAGTCAGATAAGTAAGGCTCACACATTGTAATACCCATTATAGAGTCAGGTAAGTAAGGTTCACACAGTGTAATACCCATTATAGAATCAGATAAGTGAGGCCTACACATTGTAATACCCATTATAGAGTCAGGTAAGTAAGGCTCACACATTGCAATACCCATTATAGAGTCAGGTAAGTAAGGTTCACACATTGCAATACCCATTGTTTTTATCAGTTTATAGGGTTGCCTGTCCTTTGGACACAGAAATGTTAATACATAATATCAAGGCACATTTATGGCATTATCAATCTGAAAATTCCAGGATGGGATGCAGGTGATTCCAGCCACCATTCTGGAAATGTAATTAATCTTGAGTGAAGGATGTGGCTTGAACACGTCCCCATGTGACTTAGGACACTTGGACCAAAAATATTAGAATCATCCTCGGTCACAGTGTGTCACATCAGCTACGGCAATGTGGTCTGACTCTAAGGCCTGATTTCTGTTCTCCATGTCTTTATAATCCAGTAGAGCACATGACCTTAGTGTTAGAAGAGTTTCCACAATGTCACAGTAAAGGTGACAGCCCACAGATGCCCGTGGATTGTGCTGTTGGAGTTTTTGGGTCCTATGTCATTGTTATCCAGATCTAGAAACTACCTATAAATTCATGGAAGCAAACACAGGGATCCTACATTCTAATCGGGCAGCCAAAGCTCCCAACTCCTTCAACTTGGACTGTGCAAGCACAATGAGAAAATGAGGTTCGTTTTCTTAGTTATGTTTGTTTGTTTGGTTGTTTTTTTTTTTTTTTTTTCCAATACAGGGGTTCTTTGTGTAACAGTCCTGGCTACCTGGAACTAGGTCTCATAGACCAGGCAGGCCTTGAACTCAGAGATTGGCCTGCCTCCCAAGTGCTGGGATTAACCACCACCCCATATTTAGGCTTTTTTTTTTTTTAAAGAAAAGATCTTGTTAAGTAGTCCAGACAGTTCACACTCATGGCAATCCTCCTGCATCAGCCTGCTCTCTCTCTATATATATATCTGTTTGGATTTCCTGCCTGAATTTACTCTGCTAAGTCACTGGCCAAAAAGCTTTATTCATTAGCAAATAAAAGCAACATGTATACAGAAGGACTTCCCACATCATGAATTACAATTACATAAAGAGCTGCTTGTGAGTGGAGACCGGGACAGAGACTGATGAGCAGGAGTCTAAGGTCTGAACACGGCTTCTAGGTGCAGCTTCTCTGGGCTGTTTGGTTAAGAAGGGAATGAGTTTCAATACAGACACACTGAGTAGCACAAAATGCAGAGATTGTTTAGTCAGCCTTGTCCGAGTCTCCTCTGCTATATGATTCTAGATGAGATCATGTAAATATGCAATTTAATATCCTTTCCATTTGAAAGTATAAAATAAGCATCTCTACATTCCATTAAATATTCGTTGAAAGTATAATTTTTATTGACTACTGTTTTAACACATAGACATGTGAAAGTGTAGAATTATCCCTCCATTGGATTTTAACTGTCTGATTTTTGTTATAAACATCACTCTAGTAATAGGATTTACAACATTGTTCACATCTGTATTTTACAGGACACATTTGTAAAAGGTGTATGTACAGTTTGTCTTTCATTTTGTTTTTTGAGAAAGTATTCCTCTGCATAGTCATGACTGTCCTGGAACTCAAATATAGAGATCTACCTGACTCAGCCTCCCAATTAATGGGCTTAAAGCTGTGTGACACCACCTCTCATCAATATGTCTATTTTTAACTTTATAATATAGAAGTAAATTAAATACTACTGTTAAAGGGGTTATTATTTTCCAATCATGTGCATGTGTAGTTTTTGATGCTGGCCACTGGTGCTGTAGTAGAGAGAGAAACCCAACAAAATGCTAAGCCTCCATTTTCCAAAGGAACAGAGGGGTTCAACCTTCTTGGAAGAGACTGACACCCAGCTCACACTAGCTCACTCTAGTGACTTTATTCAAACATATACAAGGTTAATAGGGGCCAGGAAATGTTCCAGCTATGGAATTCATCTTGCTTTTGCTGCCCTTGAGAGTAGACAGCCCACATATAATGGAATGCCACAATCAAAAGTAAGAACCCCAGGTTTCCATGAGTGTCTTCAGACCAAGTTCGGTACAGCTGCAAGCTAACATGGAGCTCCAAGTGCAGAGTCTCTAGACAGACAACATTTCTTCAAGGTTTAAACAGTCTCAAAACACTGTCAGGCACTGGTGGCATACACCTTTAAATCCAACACCTGGGAGGCATAAGCCGATGGATTTCTTTGAGTTTGAGGCCAGCATGGTCTACAAGAGCTAGTTCCAGGATGTAGCGCCTGCACTACAGGACAGTTCGTGAGTCTGCAAGGGCCTGGAGATTAAGGAACACAAGAGGCGTGGGTCATTTTTGAAGAGGGAATGAGGAATGTCGTTTATTCAAGCTTAGAGAAAACCTTTTATACTTAACTGCTGCACAATGGAAACCCCCCAAGCAGATGGGAAATTACCAGGCTCAAGAAGGAGCAAACATCTCCCCTATAGCTAACCACCAGGGTGGGCAGAGGGTGCACGGGAAAAAGAAAAAGATGTTTTGTCAGAAATTGCAAGCTATTCTCAACATGAACCCTGGGAGGAGGGGTAGACCTGTGGGCCCTATACCAGGACAGGCTCCAAAGCAACATGGAGAAACCCTGCCTTGAAAATAAAAAAATAAAAAATAAAAAAAAAAAACAGGCTCAAAACAATTTCTCAACCAATCAACCCAAACATAGCAAAGGCTTTGCTGAAACATGTCACTCGAAGCCAGGCACACGGCTTTACGATACATATCACTACATGTGTGCTTTACTATATACATCACTACATGTGTGCATACAGAATCAGAAGCTCCCAGGATGCAAACTCACTGATCGCATAGGGAGTATAATGGTTAAAACTGTGTTTGTGTTTCCAGGCATTTTCATATGAATTTGACAAAAGGAGTCATGGAAATCCAAGTGACACCCAAGGTAGAGTAAAGTGTTTAAGTTGACCAGTGATTTCTTGTTACCAAGTAACTGTTCAATGACAGGGAAAGGATGATGGTGATCATTTCTCTGATAAGTCAAACATATTAAATGAAAATTAAAGGATATTCCATGCATGTGAGTATAAAAGAAACTGGCCTGACTTGGGTAAAGGGAAAGGTGGGCCAGGTCATATAAGCTGTAGAATGGGATTGTTAAATTACTGATGAGACTACCAACTCCAATGGATCATGTGACATGGCTTTTCCAAGAGACACCTTAAGAGACAATACAAGCCAACACTTCGCTGTCACATGTGGCTTTCTGTTTCTGAGTTCATCTTGTTTGGGGTTCACTGGAACTTTGTTTTGAAGTGAGGTTTTGCCATGTTGCCCAGGATGGCCCCAAGCTCCTAAATTCAAGTCATCCTTCTGTCCTAGCCCGGACCCAGGGCGACAGTAAATGGCAGCCAATATAGTGATAGAGCAGCCTGTGACCTCAGCTGTTCTTGCTTCTGATGACTTGGTGCCTAATTCTGTCTTTTCTTTCCTCTGGGCAGGTTTTTATGGGAGTCTCTCCAGCCCTACCTTAGGAGTGCATGAAATGAATATTGGCCCGATCCTCTTCCAAGTGGCCACGGGGGACATCACCAAAGAAGCGGCAGATGTGATTGTCAATTCAACATCAAACACATTTGATCTCAAATCAGGTACTTAGTGAGATGGATTCTGTCTCCTGCAGTAATCAGTGTGGTAGATCCTATGAAGAAGTGTTTCTACAGACAAAATGGTTTGTTGACTTTGGCTTGTTCCTGTTAACTAATATCTATAAACCTAATTCAATCGGCTTTTTTACAACTGGCAACATTTTTGAAATTTTCCTCTCTGTCCTTACTGCTCTATGATGGGATGTGTTGAGACACAAAGGCATCTTTCTGGTCAGGTCACGGTCTTGATTTTCTCATGTAGGAGTCTCCAAAGCAATTTTGGAAGGTGCAGGACCAAGTGTGGAGAACGAATGTTCTGTCTTGGGTAAGGAATGATGCTGCTTCTTGGAGCTGGATTGGAAGGGAAAGATTGACTGTGAGAGGCAGTGAGGAAACCAAGGAAGGGCCTGGGGCTGGGAGGACAATGTATAAATCTTTTTTGTTTTTTGTTTTCTTTTGTTTTGAGACCCATGTATTCATCTTAAGATCATATATTTTATGAAAGAATTCCATATGAAAGTTAAAAGTAGAAAGATATCTCACAGTTAAGAGAAATTTATCCCCAAATTTCACGATATGTAGTATTTCGTGAACTTTTAATTCATAAAACGTTTTCTCATGAAATCAGACATCTTGCTTTCTCCAAGCACAGGTCAGCGTCTGACTCTGAATCTGCTCCTGTTTCACAGCTCAGCAGAACAGTGAGTACATAGTTACTGAAGGTGGATCACTGAGATGCAAGAGTATTATTCACGTTGTTGGTGGGAATGACGTGAAGAGATCAGTTTCCTGTGTTTTGGAAGAATGTGAACAACGGAACTACTCATCCATTTGCCTACCAGCCATTGGCACAGGTCCGTAGCTGCAGGCTGTCAAGGTTCCATTCCAAAGTGTCCACTTCCCCATGGATTTGGTGCTCACTGGGTCTGGGTGATGACAGGGACACCTTCCCTAGGAGTAGACAGTTTCCTCACTCCAAGGTTCCCCATCTACTAGGAAAAGAGCAAAGCCTGCGGGATCTTTAAGAAAGAGAAAAATGAGCAGTGTGCATTTATGTGCACCTGTGTCTCCAATGATGGTCAGGACAGAGGCAGGAGGAGTCACCTGTGTCCCCCAATTGTCTACAAGTTTAGTCAAAGGCATCTGCTGTAATTTCCTGCCCCAGTGGTGGGCACCATTAACAGGAATAATCCAGATGGACTCTCAGTCTATCAAACCAGCTTTCCCAGGAGACTTTTACACTGCCTGTCATGTGACTTTGACAGCTGCCATTCACTTTGGGCTATTCCACAGTCTTACCTTGCATTGGGTTCCAGGGCTTGAGAAACAAGATCTGAACATGGTGAAGATAGGAGTGGATCTACTCAGTGGTGATTCGAATTCTGCTGGGGAGCTAAAATGGTACAGAGTATGGGGAAGAAAGACATCCTGGAGGCTCAGGGTAACTAATATACCTAGAATTATAGACTAGAACAAGTAGCTTACGGTTCTGGGTGCCTTGGAATTACCTTAGTTTGAATCAGGTCCCCAGCAGTAGCCGGGAGAATCTCAACACATGGATAAAATCTAGTAGAGGCTCAGATTGTCTCTGTAAGAACCATGTTGTTTCAAGGTGTTTTACCTTTTTTTCTTTCCTTCTTTTACTATCTTTTGAAAACTCTAGTATATCAAGTGGGGAAGTCCACTGAACTCTGTAATGGGAAGGGAGTGACCCTGGGAGCCAGGACCAGCTGAAAAGGACAGATGTGAATGTCGCAAATCAGAACAGGCTTCAGGGTCTTGTCCTGAAGTGTTGACCTTCGGACAGCATGGAATAGAAACACCTCCCCACTGTGCCTAGGATGTCAAAACTATGATGATGTCATGTTAAAAAAATATACATAGATTAAAGTTGGACTATGCATTTTTCTTTCCTGTGACATCTGGAATTCCTTGTTTATGTAGCAGCCTTTTGCAGGTGGATCTTATCCTTGTCTTTTGTGTTTGTTTTAAAGGAAGTGCTCAACAGGACCCAGATGCAGTTGCTAAAGCCATAATGGATTCCATTGAAGAATTTATCCAGAAAACATCAGTGCGGGCTGTGAAGAAAGTCAAAGTTGTTATCTTCCAGCCTCATATCCTGAGTGTTTTTTATGACAACATGAAAGACAGAGAAGGCTCCCCAGCTCCTCCCCAGCCGTCTCTACTGTCTAAGATCACCTGTGAGTTGTTCACTTTTATCAAATACATATTCCTCACCTTGATGCTGAGGGGAGTAAAAGAAAAATTAATTTTCATTTTCTCTTTAGCCTTTTTTGGCTTTTCAAAGCACACTCCGCACAAACAGGAGACCCTGTTTTTGGAGAAGAAAATAGAGCAGACAGTTTTCCAGGTATGTGGCATAGATGAAGACAGTGTGGAACGCACGATCTCCTGGATACAGAATCTGATCAACAAAGAGCAGCTACCCTATAGCAGTGTTGATGAGTGTGTCAGAGACTTTGGTGAGAAGGAGTACAAGAAGCTGAATGAGCTGCAGGAGAGGCTGAATATCGTCATTGAGCTGGACAAGAAGACACCTTTGATTAAAGTTGCAGGAATCAGCAGAGATGTGATGGGAGCTAGAGATGAGATTGAAAACCTGATCAAGAGCATCCGGTTGGCTAAAGAGAAGGAAAGCCAGGCAGACTATGTCCTCTCATTCGTGGAATGGCGATATATTGTCAACAACGTCACACACTGTTTCGACAAAATGACTAACATGCAGTTGGAGAACGCACGGCAGGCAAAGCACAGGAGCACTGTTGTCAAAATTAATAATCAGGACTTCACAGTGAACTTGAGGACGAACATGGCCACAGGCCCTCAAGGACAGAGTGTCACAGTTCAGCGCATCTTAAAAGATGAAGGTAAGTTACATGGATGTGAGTGTCAGCCATTGCCCCAACTCTGAGTTTTACATTATGTAAAAACACAGTGGGGTTTTGTTGTTGTTGTTTTCTTTTTGTTTTTCAAAATAGATTTTCTCTGCATTAGAGCCCTAGCTGTCCTGGAACTAGCTCTTGTAAAGCAGGCTGGCCAGGGACGCACAGAGATCTGCCTCTGTCTCCAAAGCACTGGATTAAACGCATGAGTCACCACCACACAGCTTGTTTTATTTTTGATAGTTTTATTATGCAGCCATTGCTGATCTGGAACTCGCTCATTCTCTCTCTCTCTCTCTCTCTCTCTCTCTCTCTCTCTCTCTCTCTCTCTCTCTCTCTCTCTCTCTCTCTCTCTCTCTCTCTCTCTCTCTCTCTCTCTCTCTCTCTCTCGCAGAAATGTTTCACTATGTAGCCATGGCTGACCTGGAAGTTAAACCAGGCTAGGCTCTAATTCAGAAATTTGCCTGCTTCTACTTCCCCAATGCTGTGTTAAAGGCATGATCCACCCATGCTCTACTGTATTAAATTTTAAAGTAGATAAAATTCAGATAACCTTAGTAGAATAATTTAAAGATCTTGGTCTCTTAAGTTTCCACAGCGTACATTATGGCCAATAAAATACAGCCCAAAAAGAACCATCCTAACTGTAATAACAGTTAACCTAGTATTTTCCATCTGGGCTGTTTATACTGGATCAGTTCTTCTGGTGAGATAACGGCTGCCTGAGGCAGAGGTAAAAAAAAGAATAGTTTCAGAAGGGATATGGCCCAGGGTTCTCAAGAATACAAAAGTCAAGGAGAGGACAGACTTGTTAGAGCTGGCCTCTGTGTCCATGATGATGACCAAGGGAAGAACCCAATTCTATTCCCATATTCTTCTCTTTCCTGTGCCAAAGGTTCCTGGATACCAGTGCAGGAAATGGCGTACAGGTTTCTGGTGGATCTGATCCCCAGGAAGGGAGTGGCTGTCTTGTGTAGGCTGTCATTCCTGCCTTCAAACCACATGAGTCCCCAATGGCTTCCCACAGACTAGATTCATCTTCTGTAGGACCAGTATGAATGAACCCCCAGTCCCTATGCACCCCTAAAAGAGTGACATATAATATGTGGTATTATACAGCATGCTACAGACAAACCCTACCATCTACCCATCTACCTCTTAATTATGGAGTGAGGCAAATGAGAAAATACATGTAGACTACCCTCCAGTGGTACAAACTCATTCATGTGCAAATGACAGAGATTGTTCAGAACAAGTTAGTAATGAATTTGTTAAATCACATCAGAGTAGAGGCTGTGCACTAAATGAAGGTGAGTTACAGCATGTAGTCAGTTCTCACACCTTAGCAAGACCAAAACAGGAGTAGACAGAGAGGCTCCATCCCTAGGAAACCCTAACTCAGGACATGGATGGCTTTTGTCTTCTTCTGGAGAGGGTGCTTGGGAACAAGTCTCATATGTGTCAGGTAAGAGATCTACCACTGCGCTATCTCACCTTAAATCATCTGCCTCTTTAAACAAGTTTTTCATCTCATCCTGATGCCAATGGTCCATGTTCCACACTTTTAACAGCATCCTTTTAGAAAGATAAGAAATTTCTTGAATACATAGAATTATGAGACTATAATACAACAGGGAGGCAGGTTTTGTCAAAGCATACTGGAAATGCACACAGGAGCCCTCAAATGTCTATTTTGCAGCTGAAATCCCTTCAAATTGGAGTGACATGAGGCAGAAGAAATTGCTTGTGGTCAGTCTGCAAACCAATAATCCTGAGTATATCATGGTGGCAAACCAGTTCCACCAGACCTGCCAAAACTTCGTCATAGAGAACGTAAGTCGGGTGCTGAGTTTTCTAATGGAAACGTTACATAGTTAAGTAAGTGATATTACCCATGTTCCTGAATAAACCCACTCATATATGGGTCTGGAGGTGGCCCATGGGTCAAGATTTTGTATTGTGGGATGGAAAGATGGCTCTTCGGTTTGGAGCACTGGTTGCTCTTCCACACATCCTGAGTTCAGTTCCCAGCATAGTGGCTCACAACCATCTGTATTGAGTTCTGGTGCCCTCTTCTGGCCTATAGGAACACATGCAGGCAGAACATGATATTCATAATTAATTAATTAATTAAAAGATTTTGTTTTGCGCTGTCAGAGGACCACAAGTTCCAAGTTTGGTATCCAGACCCACATCAGGTAGCTTACAACAGCCTGAAACTGTAGCACTTATCTGGCCAACCTAACTTGGTGCATTATCTCCAGACCAGTAAAACAGGCGTGTGTGTGTGTGTGTGTGTGTGTGTGTGTGT